AACTGTTGTTCCCCTTGTTTCTGAACTGTTGGTTAGCACAACTTAACTGAACTGTTGGTTAGCACAACTTAAGTGTTAGCACAACTTCCTTCCCCCATCCCATCTCCCCTCTCCCCCGGAACTGCTGGTTCCCTTGTTTTCTCCCCGAGATTGTTCATCCAGCCTATCTTAATTAGACAGACCTGTGGAACTAATAACATTCAGAAAAAAATACAAAGCAAAACCAAGCAACAAAAGAAAACAACAACAACAACAACAAAAGTCAATGACAAAAAAACCCACAAAAAACCCCCACAACAACAACAAAAAAGAAAAGCTTGTAGTTAGTTCAAGGACTATTTGTTGGCCTTTAGGAGTATTTTCTGGTCGAGTCTGATGGGGTGACAAGCCCTGGCCCCAAAGTCTATTTTTGGCATTCCCTGGGGACTTCATTGCTCTGTTCCTCTTGCTGTTCTGTTACACATCCTTACTGTTTTGCCTTGGTATGGTGGGATCAGATCAGGTGAGATTCTCACACTGTGTCTCCAGTGTTGTCCCCTGTAAGGCTATGGGTCAGTCAGGGATGTAGTGTCTCATAGTGGGGTCAGCCATATGGTCATCTCTGTGCATTGGCTGCTCTGAGCGGGAATATTGTCCTTAAGGCTTGGTGGGCCAGGATGTGCTCCACTCTCTCTTCCTCCCCCTTCATTTGCTCCCGTGTTCTCTGATCAGACATGTCCCTTTCCCTGAGCTGCAGCTTCAGTGCTGTCCTCTGAAATAAGTTCTTCTGGCGGAAGGGGCAGCTGTCCACGTACTTGTGATTGGGGCCAGCCCCTCAGACCTCTCCACTGGTTCCCTACTCTATGCCGGCATGTTGCATTCACATCTTAGAGCACCAGGTTGAGTGACCGTACTTTTTATGGCACATTCTGTCTGGAAGACTGATATATGAAGTATCAATTTTAAGTATTGGTTGGTGAATTTAGCCCCACCATCCTAGACTCACAAGACACCATTACTTGAATAATCATGCTTCCCCATAACCCCAGCAGCAGAGAAAAATGAGAATCATTGAATCACCCAATACCGGCAAAGAAACAAAGCTGCAAACATTCAACTCAAAAATATATTGAGGAGCTCTAAGAAGATGGTGGCTTCATCATACCATGACCCTCTCAAGCAAAGACACAAGGAACCGCGTGAAACAGATAAAGACAGCCGTCTTGGTACCCTGAGCAGCAAAGGGAAGGACAAAGATTTGATTGAACATTTGATTGAACATTTGATTGAACACTGAATGGAAGTACAGTGGAGTGAAGACAATGAACAAAGACTCAAGGATTGTGGGTGTCCTGACAGCTGGCCCTGTGCAGTTTGGTCATCTTGAGACAAAGAAATCAATATTTCCAGATGAGACGGCAACTTCATGAAGTCCCCGTAAGGAAAGAGCTCTCATATGGATAAATCTAGAGTGAAGCAAAGTGAGGAGAACACAAACCAGATTTAAGGGATGAGTGTGCAATGAGTAAGGCAAGCATTATAGGCATCCGGGGGACCACAAACAGGGAAGGAGCCAGAAAATAGGAATACCACTATTCACCAGCTGGTCAATTGGGTTGAAGATCCACATGGAGGGGAGGGTCTATGGATTGGTGGCTTCTGTAAAGGCCTCTGCAGAATGTCCCTACTGCATGGGGTCAGGGCAGGGCCCTGATCTCTTGGGGCACTAACCAAGGAGCACACTGGTACCCACACTTCTGGCCACTGACTGTAGCAATTCCCTCTCCATCCTATTTGAGAAACGGTTTTTGCGTAACAGCGCATGCTCTGTCATTACTGCCACTGAT